GATGAGAGAACTAAGGCCCAGACATATTATATTACATAACCTGTATTATGTAAGACCTGTTGATTTACACAACAAGTAAACGTTCAAGATACACTGATAAGTCACACAGCCTGGCCTCAGTCTATATACTCTTTATGCTGCACCATAGTCGCCATAAGACCCACTTAAGAATCACCATTCTCTTGAAATTTTTCTACCCTCTTCCCCCCACTCACCCACAGATAAAATACAAACAGTTAATCTTGCTCTCTATTTTAGTGGCCAACTCAGATGACCTCTTTTTTGAATCGTATATTTCAGATCTCGTATTTACTTACATCTAAAAAATGCCATCACCAAATTCATTGCACTTTGTCTTTTCATTCCTCAAACAAATCATCCTCATCTCCATAACCATCCTTCGGAAGAGTTTCTGACCACTAGTCCACCCCCGAACGACCAAACTCCGTCCATTCTGGTTTCTACACATACTGAGAGACTGATGCGGCAAACACACACTTTACAAGAAGAACTGAGTGGAACAAAAGGGCAACATGAGAGAGATAGGCAGGGCCGCCTTCACATTCAGAACAGGATGAAAGTCTCTGTAATGGTTCCATTCTAAACAATATAAATTATAAACTATGTAAATATAGCATTAAAAAAACAACCTCACCTACCACAATGATCAAAAGAAAAACAACATCCAGAACTAAAAACAAGACTCAGCCTTCAGGGTCCAACCAGCACAGAATCTCTCCGGTCATCTTTTCTTGGGCTGCCCTTTCCACAAACACAGCAGAGAGATTCTGAAGCGGGCTGGCTTTTCCTTTTGTCAACAAGCACCTCAGATGACCTTTCGATGGCTAGGTAAAAATATACCAGTTTTGGTTTTGAGTTTTTTGTTGTTGTTGTTATAGTTGCCTCTATAAAGAAAAACTCTGAGGAAGAGAATCAGAAACGAGAAAACTCCAAAACCCTAAAGAACTCTGGACTCCACTGGTTTCTATCACTAAGAAGATCCCCAGTGTCAAGTAAAGGCACTGGCAGTAAATACAGCAATATCTGACTCGGGGGGTTTTCTGCAGAAAAATAACACTTAGTAAATACACGGATGTTTTAACTGAAGAATTAAAACAAGTTATTAGCATCATCAGAAAAATGTAATTGCTTCAAGGTACAGGTTGGAAAAGCAGACTGGAAAAGGTTGGAACTGAGGCTAGCACCAGTCTTCACCATAGATTTTTATTTTCCGTAAGAAGGAAGTCAAGCACATAAAATCCCTCTCAGTCTTCTCCCCTTTCCCCATCACCCTACTGTAGACAAAAGGCATATATTTTGCTGATGATTCTAAAATCATGCACAAAAAAAGGATGTGTAGAGTAGGAGTAATTAAATGTACAAGAATAGCTAACTAGCAATTCGTATCATTCTAAAAAATAAAAGAGAAAATGCTCTTTCCAAAGCACGTCCATAAATTATGACCCTGTCGTATGATTTGAATGTGGCCCCCCAAAGCTCAAATGTTGGAAACTTAATCTCCAATCCAACAGTGCTGAGAGGGTGAGATCTTAAGAAGTGATTACATCATGAGGGATCTGCCCTCGTGAATGGAATAATGTCACTATCTAGGGAGTGGGTTTGTTATAAATGCAAGCTTAGACAGGCGTGGAGGCATGTGACTGACTGTAGTCCCAGCTACTCAGGAGTCTGGGGCACAAGGATCCCTTCAGCCCAGACATTAGAGAACACAGTAAGTTATGATCACACCACTACATTCCAGCCTGGGTAACAGAGCCAGACCCCATCTCTTTAAAAACTAAACTTTTAAAAAAAAAAAAACAAAAACAAACCAAGCTTAGCACTTTCTTCTGCTCTCTTGCCAAGTTATAATGCAGCAAGAAGGCTCTCACCAGATGCAGTCCCTCAGTCTTTGAATACCAAGCCTCCAGAAACATAAGCCAATAAATTTCTGTATTTTTAAAGTTACCCAATCTCAGCTATTCTGTTATAGCAACATGAAACAAACTACAACAATATGAATTTTTAAGAATCAGTATTTTCTCTTACAAAGTCTAAAGGCCCAAAGAGAATGCAAATGGTCAATCTTAAAAGTTCTTCCCTGCTGGGCGCAGTGGCTCACACCTGTAATCCCAACACTTTGGGAGGCCGAGGTGGGTGGGTCACCTGAAGTAAGGAGTTTGAGACCAGCCTGATCAACATGGAGAAACCCTGGATCTACTAAAACTACAAAATTAGCCAGGCATGGTGGCACATGCCTGCAATCCCAGCTACTCGAAGGCTGAAGCAGGAGAATCCCTTGAACCCAGGAGGCGGAGTTTGTGGTGAGATCGCGACACTGCACTCCAGCCTGGTCAACAAGAGTGAGGAAAAAAAAAAAAAAAAACTCTTCCCATGTATAATGTTTAGGAAATTTTAAACTCACAAGTAAAAATTAGCATCTGTTCAACAATCCACTAATGCTATTTTAAAATAGCCATTATAGGTAGTTACTTTAGACTCAACTTCTCATCTTCAGAGTCAGCACATTCCATTACCCTATTAGAAAAGTCATTCTGTATGTGAGCTGAAGACAGGTTATGTATTACAGTTTCAACAGTTTCAGCCCAAGCTCTGGAAATTCAGGTCCCAAGTCATTTACTCGCTTTTGAAGGCAGGGTTCATCCCAATCCACTAAATACTGAAAGATCAAAACAAAGGAGTGCTTTAAGGCCTTAAGTTTTAAGTTACCATTTTATGCTTGCTACATATCCTGCAACACCACAAGAAATGCATGCCCTGCCCGGGTGTGATGGCTCACGCCTATAATCCCAGCACTTTCGGAGGTGAGTGGATCACTTGAGGCCGAGAGTTCAAGGACAGCCTGGCCAACATGGCTAAACCCCATCTCTACTAAAAATACAAAAATTAGCCAGGTATGGTGGTGTGTGCCTGTAATTCCAGCTACTCAGGAGGCTGAGGCATGAGAATCGCTTGAATCCAAGAGGCAAAGATTGCGGTGAGCTGAGATCGCACCACTGCACTCCAGCCTGGGTGACAGAGCAAGACTCTTGTCTCCCTCAACCCCCACAAAAAATAAAAGTATACCCTAATGACACTACATATTTGAAGGCTACAAAATCTTTCTCCTATAATCAAGAGTGCCCCAGACCATCCTCAAAATCTACCCAAGCCTATCAAACCTTAATCCACATAAAACCTTCATGAGACCAAAACCAAGTTAGCAGGTTGCAATGAATCCTTAATTCAGTAAGATAATTGACACAAGAATAATTAAAAAGGATTTGCCAGGGCTAAGTTTTCCTTCAGCCAACTCTGAAAAGAGTTTCTCTTTTCTACTACCCTAAAAAATTCCAGTTAAATGACTGCTTTGCACTCAGGTGCCACATGACACTGTGGTCTGATACAAAGAGAAAGCTAGCAGCACTATCTTCTGAGAGAATCACAATAAGTTAGGGACAGCGTCCCTCCTTAAGAATGAAGCCTACAACACACATCACTGCACCTGGATGCTGACCAGCTCTCAGACAGAAGTGAGGGTGATGGCCAGCCACAGAGCTAAAGGGTGGGTGCCCAGACTCAGAGAATTCTGCTCCTCAAATGGAGATGAAAGTTGATGCCAGATGCATGCCAGATGCCCAAGTTGGAGGCATGGATAATATTATCACACATTCCAATATATTTACTGACACAATTTTTTACACATCCTTAAAATCACTCTCTTGTGATAATTCATGTTTTAAACTGGAATGGGGAATGTTTGTTATGGAATATCTGTAATATAACAGGTTCATCACTGAGATACTCTTTTTAAAGGAGTGACATACAAAGCTCAGCACACGGGAAGATCCTAACTATACTAATAACGAATCTTATGACATCTTCTAAGACAAAGTGCTGAGGATGAAGAGAAAATGAGAGAAGCATACAGATTCAATGTAGTTAAAAGGCTATTTAAAAGACGACACCTCGTGATGGAGAAAATAAAGACTTTGAGCTATGCATCTCAAATTTCAGACCTGAAAACAGGAATTTTAAATATCTACACATGGCTAATCTTGTCCTTTTCTCTTAATTTTTCACTCTACTCTGTTCTTCTTTAGATAGACACACGTAGATTGTTTCTGAAAAGTAAATTCTCCAGAATGAGTAGACAGACGGGCAGACAAAGGTTTTTTTTTTTTTTCCCTTTTCCTTCAATCTCTGAAACTAACAAATTCTAAGAAAAAGTCATGAAACTAGTCATCTAGGTAAACATAAAGAGAACAAAGGGAAATATAAATTCTAAGAGGGAAAAAAAAGGAAATAACAGGTATGAAGTACGGTAGATACTAGGCAAAGGGTTTCAAAAACACCCAAGTAAAAGCATTATAAAATGTCACTGCCACTCTTTGACCATGAAACCACAAACTCTTATCAAACTACTAAAGCCAACTTCCTTACCAAACTCTTAAGCTTATTTAGGAAAGCCACATAAAAATAACTGCTGTTCTAAGTTTTAAGCACCAATTCCACAGCTACTAACTTGGAACTTGGTTAAACAGCAAGGGATTAAAAATACACAGTGTAATTTCAGCTTTCCTGACAAGGAAAAAATGTCTCAGAAACACCACATTTACTTCTTCAAATTTTTAGAAAGATCTCTTTTCAGAAGTGGCAAAACATCACCTAATATATATATTCCTCAAGATGACGGCTGCTAAGAATCAATTAAAATGAACAGTTAAGACAGGCATTACAAGCTGGCAACTCTTTGGCTAACTGTGCCAGCAAGAACACGTGTTGTTCAGTCCAGAGTACTTTTTTTTCCCATTTTTAATTATAATTATTAGACAACACTTAGAAAGCAGGACATTTGTTACGAAACCTCGTAATTCTAGCTCCTCTATGAAAATCAAAAGATTGGGTGAGTGGGCTCACATTATCATGTGGTGAGAACTGGCACCTGAGTTTGCAGTCCCTGGTTGAAGGTACCAATATTTGCAGCCTTGGGTACTAACCTTTTCCTCGACGGCCCTTCTTCAAAATCTGAAGAACTAACATCGTTGCTAGTGGAGGACACTTGGGATGCATCGTCCTTTTCATTCTCTGACTGTTCTGATGCTGGTCCTAATCCCTTAGACTGGTCATTACCAAGGAGCCCTACAGGTGAGAAAAGGGGACAAACACTTAAATACATCACATCAGGAGGCAGCACTTTACCACAGTCAACCCTACACAACGCTGGTGAAGACAGACAAGAATGTGGACACAAGAGAACTGAAAAGCACACATCTCTTTTGAATGGGTGGAGAAAAGCAAAACCTCATTCTATGTGACACCTTTAAAGAGAGTGAAATGCCTAAGAGGGAAACAATTTCAGCAGTAAGAAATCCGACCAGAAATTTGGAGTTGTAATGCTATGCTTGAGGATTCGTTTTTAAAGAGTACATAAACATCTTTTGCGGCTAAAGGGTTGAAAGGAAGAAAGGCGTATCTGTTATCAAACTAGTCACTGTTGAAGTGGTCAATATTGACTCTACAGATACTGAAATCCTTTCTGGAATTGCCTGCAGGAACCAGTACCTGCCACACAAGAAAAGGCAGCCTTGTCTTTGCAGCCACATCTCAGATATTAACTAGAAATCCTACTGCACTTGTTTTCCTTCATAGCCATCTATAAGATTAGATTGTAACCAGATTTGCCTTTGATCATCTCAAAGGATAAGGATTCTCTATGATAGCAGATGCTAAGCAGGGGAGTCTTGGTGCCCATGAATGTGCTTTTCGTAACCAAAATGTGGAAAGAAGCTGCGGGCCCTCAGGGGGCTAAAAAGCAGCTATGTAGTAACTGATATGGAAGTATTTTAACCAGCAGTAAGGTCACACTATAGGGAAACGGGAGAATAAAATAGCCTCAGAGTCCCTTACATCAATGTAGGTTCTGCCAACAAGAAGCTTCCACTGATACTCATGTCCACAGCGACTAGACCCGCTGTCCACTGTCTAGCCACCACCCTCGAAGGCAACCAGAGCTGGGCAGTAACAGCACTGCTAGCACAGCATCTGCAGTTTTGTGGAGATTGATCTAGAAGCCAAAAATACAGAGTGGCCCCTTGATTTTTGCTCTTCTAGTCCTGCCACCAATTTTATGCACACTTCATTCCTCTGTATTAAGTCTTTGTGACTGAAGTATCTCAGAAAGTGACTTCTGTTAATTGTACTAAACACTATGTAGAACACAGTGTTCTATGTATTTGATTAAAAAAATATATAAACACTGTGAATGAACATAGTACACATCAACAAAGCCCTGGGACCTAGCTTGTTTCTGCTTGCATTTCCCCAGTTATCTATTTTTACATCATTTCAGAGTATGATGATAACATAAGGTTGAAAATAAAACACATGGTTATTTACTTCAACTAATGAGGCTTTAAGAGTTGTGACTACAATACAGAAATAGAAATGTATAAAAACCCCCAAAGAAAATGCTGGGAGTTTGCACTGTGAGGGCAAAAGGAGACAACTGTATAGAAATCTAAGAATCCAAGGATAAAAGCGTGGCCAGTGTTTCAGAGATTGAAGCCATGTTCTCCATTACAGTAGGCACTAGCCATGTGCAGCTACTGAGCACCTGAAATATGCCTAGTGTGGAAGAGGAAATATATTTTAATCTTACTTAATTGTAATTTAATATCAGAACATAACATGTCATTGATAATGTTATATGAATTGTGGAAATATTTTGGATTAGATTAAATCAAATATATTAACATTGATTTCACCTACTTTTGAGTGTGACCACAGAAACTAAAATTACATATGTAGTGTAAATCGTATCTTTACTGATGGGCACTAAGTTAGAACACATTACAAGTGTCACTGTCCAGGGGGATCCCCTCCCCCAACCAATTAGGATACAGGCGACATTTAACCAAGATTAGAGTTGGCCAAGGAAGATATTTATCTTATCTGTAAAAAGAGAAGATGGATAAATTATCACAGAGAAAATGGATAGAAAACTGAAAATAATAATGCTGGTTAAAGACCCAGATGTAAAATTTAGAAGGAAAAAAAGAGGATGGACATCATACATATGTATCGTCTTGGTTGAGTTCAAATTTTTCTTTTTGCTTTTAAGACAGGGTCTCACTCTGTTGCCCAGGCTGGAGGGCAGTGGCGCAATCATAGCTTACTGCAGACTTGACCTCCTGGGCTCAAGAAATCCTCCTGCCTCAGCTGAGACTGCAGACACATGTATAACATAATGGAGAATAAAGCACAGAAAGCAAAAAAGGGATCAATTCTGAATTTATCCATCCATTTGCTTAACAAATACCATATGCCAGGGCACTGGGGATACAGGTTAATCAAAATCTAAAATTAAGAGAGACAGACAAACACAGACATATGTATTACTCAGTAGTAAGTGAAGAAAAGAAAGTAAGTGAGTGAGCCAATGGAGCCAGCCGGCAAGCTTGCAATACCAAAACAAGAACAAGAAAGTTGGGATTTGCAATAAGCCTGAAAACAGGTAGTGGTGATGGACGAAGAGGACAAGGAGGAAGAAGAGCTATACAGGTATCAAAAAGAAACTAAACAAGGACTAGGCGCAGCTCAGGAAGACTGGGAAAGGCTCCTATACCCTTTGGTACATACCAGCAGCTGAAGTCTTAGCTGAATAAGAGGTGAATGTATGAAAGAATGACTGAACAAATGATTTAGAAGTGGACTACTGTAAGAAAGTTAAGCTTTTTGTTGACAGCTTTGCTGTCAAAAGAATCTGGATGACTGTAAAGAGAAGTGCTTCTCAAACTTGAGCATGCATGTGAATCACCCCCCAAGTGTCTCCTGTTCTAACACATTCCCAGGTGACACTGATGCTGCTTTGGCTGCTCTGGGTTTTGTTTGTTTGTTTTTTTTTTTTGGGGGGGGCAGTGGGGGCGGAGGGACAAGGTCTTGCTCTGTCACCTATGCTAGAGTGTAGTGACATGCTCACAACAGCCTCAGCCTCCTAGGCTCAAGCAGTCCTCCTATCTCAGCCTCCCGACTGGCTGGGACTACAAGTGTGCACCACCACGCCCCACTAATTTTCTTTCTTTCTTTCTTTCTTTTTTTTTAACACATGGGGTCTTGCTTTGTTGCCAAGGCTGGTCTCAAACTCCTGGGTTCAAGTAATCCTCTCCTGTTTCAACCTCCCAAAGTGTTAGAATTACAGGAGTGAAAACCACACATGGCCTCATGTACTTTTTATCAATAATTTTGCAGGAAAAAAAAAAAAAAAGACGCTTGCCTGCAAAATGTCACAGAGTTACAAGAATCAGCTAAAGTGGCAAACAGAGACTCAAAAAAGGAACAGGTTGGAAAAAATGTGCATGTCTAAGAAGCATAAATGTAAAGAGACGTATAATGCTCTCCCCAACTACCCTCTCACCCTGCAAATCAATTGCCTAAGTAAAAATTAGGGGTAATTTTACGAAGAGATTTTACACATGAAAAATACCTATGAATATTAAACGATTTTATGTGCACAAAATGCAGAACAGATAAGGCTACTCTGATAAGGCATGACTGAGCAAAAAGAAATCAAAGTACTGACTCCATTGTTCCAGGCCCTCATCAAACTAAATCTTCAGAGAACTCCGAGTTTTCCACCATTCTGAGGATTGCAATGAGTATCTGAACTAGAGAAGACATGGGGTTTCCTGAATCACATTCTCGTTCCAGATTCATAAAATGGGGCCCATACATAAGGAACTGCCTTTATACAAACTAAAGGGCCATAGGTTTTTTTATTGTGTGTTCTGGTTTTGTTGTTGTTTTCCCCTTGAGACAGAGTCTCACTCTGTCACAAGGCTGGAGTGCAGTGTCACAATCTTGGCTCACTACAACCTCTGCCTCCTGGGTTCAAGCAATACTCCTGCCTCAGCCTCTTGAGTAGCTGAGACTACAGGTGTTCGCTACCATGCTCAGCTAATTTTTGTATTTTTAGTAGAGACAGGGTTTCACTATGTCGGCCAGGATGGTCTTGATCTCTTGAACTTGCGATCCGCCTGCCTCAGCCTCCCAAAGTGCTAGGATTACATACATGAGCCACCACGCCTGGCCAGGACCATAGATTTCACTGGCCCTTATGAAGGCGTAAGACTGACTTTGTTCTGCACATGATCAACTTTTGCAATTTGAGTACTTCCATTCTGTATATATCAGTCCAGGAAACATTTACATTTATTTATAGTCAGACAGCCTACATGGTTGAATAAACCTGGGCTCCATCTAACCCCACCCCCACTCCCCCACCAACCGCCCCAATCAATCTCCACTGTACTGACTACAACATTTCATTTTGAATGTTCAAAGCCCAGTTATACAGCCTGCCCAATCCAGGAGGGCCAGGTCAGCAAGACGGAATACGATGCCACAGGGCAACAGAGGCATTATTACAACATTAGCCAAGCTAATGTGCTGCCTTTTCTTTCCCCCTAACAAAGCCCTGCCACCAATTGTTAAAATTATTATTTTTAGTCAACGAGAAATAATGAAATGGCATCCCCTCCTTCACACACTCAAACCGTTTTTATTTTTCCAACCCCCTCCCCCACCCCGACCAATACAAACCTTTGTTGGGGAGAGGAGGTTAAACAGGGGAAATTGAATGAATGGCCCAAAGATTCAGTCTATCCCATTAGCATTTGTTCTCCTCTATTAATATTCAGTAGGTTGAACTTAAATTAAACCATGTCTATTGTCTTTCACAAAAGCAATAAATATGAGCTGAAAATTGTAAATCATTGCAGTAAAGGCGGCTTGGTTACTGTGCCTGCAACCTCAGCTAGTCACCATCAGCTGACGGGAGAAGTGCGTCTGGGATCCAAGACCATTTAGCCACAAGGCAGTGTCCATTTGTGCAGCCGAGAACTCTAAAGAAATTGAACACAACAGAACCCTGCCATCAGCAGCTCTGCACACTCAAGAGCTTTTCACCCCATCTCCCAAATTAGCAAGAAATGAAAAGACTGCACAAAACAATACAACAAAACAGGCTTCTTTCTGAGTCTGGAACAGCAGCATCAAAATGGAATAGGAATTCCTGTTGTTCTTGGAAACTGGAGATACTAGTGTATGGCCATCTCCGTCTTGCTTTATATGATGGATGTTGG